ATGGTGCTCTCAAGCAGTATCTAATTCAGAATTAAATATCCAGAACTATCGACTCTATCGCTGCGACAGAGAAACTAGGCGAGGAGGTGGTTGCATTATATATGCTTTGGATACCCTAACAACTAATAAAGTTGAAGATAGTGTCCTGAATAGTTTACCAGAATCAGTCTGGATATCAGTCAACACCCTGAATCATAGTTTACTCCTTGGATGTATATACAGAGCTCCTGATAGTTCGAATAATGGGAATGATCTTATTATCAATGCATTCATACATGCATCTTCTCTAAACTTTAATGCTAAGGTTATCACTGGGGATTCCAATTATCCTGGGATCAACTGGAGTACCAGTAGTTGTCAGTCATGTAATGATAAGTTCTCGGCAACCATTAACATGCACTGCTGGTCACAGTGGGTTCGTACCCCAACCAGAGGCGATAGTTTACCCGATCTAATATTTAGTAGAGATGTTATCCCACTATCTGTAAAAGTATACGATGAATTTGAAAGCAGTGACCATAAGATAGTAGTTTGCGCTCTCCCCATCTATCTCTCTTATAACCCACCCATTCAAAAAACCTGTCAATATAGAGACTATAAGCATGCTGACTGGGACCTCCTGCATTCACTGATTAAACTTTCAGACTGGGATAACTTTTTTCATGTAATAGTCTCATGGATGCTATCGACAAATTCTATCTGATCATTAACTCTTGTTTAAATTCCTGTGTACCTCTTAAAACGTACAAGTTTAGTAAACCTTACGAGTTATATATACCAGCTAAATATCGTATTAAACTAAGACGCCTACAGAAACGTTAAGTCAAACGACTTCACGGAAGTTGCACAAATAACAATAATTTTTAATTAAATTAAAGAGAAACATAGGTTAAAAGCCATTAATGAGGAGCTGTTAGCACTTAATACTAACTCGAAAGTACAAAACTTAACTCTCCTTTTCAATAAACGCGCTAAAGCAACTTGAAATGTTGATATACAATGCATCCAGCATAATAGCACTTTTATATACGACTCTAAAACCATGGCCGACCTTTTCAGTACTATTTTTGCGAATGGTGTAGGAATCATAAGTGGCTCTGCTTCAAGAGTTATATGCGTGACTAGCAACTCAATAAAATCTATCTCCTTCACATGCATGAAAATTAATAAGGTTATAAATACCCTTAAGCTTTCGAGAGGTCATGGAGCAGACGGCATTTCATCCTTTCTCAACAAGTATGGTGGTCCAGATATTCCACTTCTTCTGAAGCTGTTTACTCTCTCTATAGGATCAGGCTCTTACCCTTACTATTGGAAAACCGCATAAATCATACCACGTTACAAATCTGGAGATAAGACTGACATGAACAATTATCGGCCGATAAATATTACTCCAGTTATCTCTAGGATTATGGAAAAAATTATAAGTGATGAACTTTCCAACTATTTACTTGCTGGAAAATTTATCAATGATACTCAACATGGATTTCTTAAAAATCGTTCTTGAATGACATGTCATTTTGACTTCTTTAATTTAGTCTATTCCCTACGTAACCAAGGATATCTAGTCTTAGTGCTATATCTGGACATTTCTAAAGCCTTTGACATGGTTAGCCACCAACTTCTTATAGGTAAGCTCTCATCTTATGGGGTTCAAAATCCTTTGCTTGCTTGGTTTGATTCCTTTCTCAGCAATCGACATCAAGTAGTTAAAATTAACTCTTCATTGTCTAACTCTGTCCCTGTTAGAAGTGGTGTAATACAAGGTAGTGTCTTAGGTCCTTTGCTCTTTTTAGTGTTTATCAATGATATTTGTGAAAGTTTTTGTGTCGGTAAGCCCCTCCTATATACGGATGATCTTAAAGGTATATATTCATTTTCTCCACATGACCTGAAAAATATGCAAAATTGCATCAGCATGGAGCTCAACAAGATAGCACAGTAGTGCTTAAAATGGCAACTGGAGCTTAATACGCTTAAATGTGGATGGATATGCTTCGGCGATACATCACTCAACCTAGATATTACCATAAATGGAGAAGGGTTATCTAGGTTACATACAGTAGTAGACTTAGCACTTAGATATTCCCAAGACTTGTCGTTTACTGAACATATATTAAAACAGACCTCTAAGTCTCAACGTCTAATAGGTTACATAACTCGAAATCTTTACAACAATAAGTCACGTATTCTAATGTACAAAGTCTGTGCTCAACCTCTTCTAGAATATTGCACGTTTATTCTTAACAGTGCGCTCATAAAGGATAAATTAAGGCTGGAATCAGTACAGAGACGATTTACGCTTCGTATTCTTGGAGCTGATTGTACCTTAACTTATAATTGTAGATGTAATAAACTTGGGTTAGACCCTTTATGGAGGAGGAGACTTAAACTAAATCTTATCCTTTTATTCAAACTACTTCATAAACTGTCGTTTACATCCAATCACGCGATTCAATATGCAGAAACTTCTCATTATGACATTCGTAATTCCTTGGCACTAGTGAAACAAACTCATTCTAAATCATCTCTTTATATGAATTACTTCACCTGTAAATTTTCTGGACTCTGGAATAACCTACCACAATCTATCCGCACGATAAAATCCCTCCCATTATTTGTTCGCTGCATACTGCTCCTCTGAAAATGCATTGAATTGTCTAGCATCTGCAAGTGTATCTCATTCCACAAGTGATATTTTAGGAACTTTAAATGTTTAGCCATCTTTATTAGTGAATCCCCTAAGTAAAACCACCCACTTGCTGTCAATATGTTAACGCCGTCCCTAGCAACTTCAACTAATTTGAATAACATAAACAGTTTATCACTGTGTCACATGACACACGCATTTAGCTAGACCTTATTGACATATTTTGGTAATTACTGCTTTGTTTTTCCGTGCTCTGTGTTTTCGTTTTAATTTCTTTAGTTGTAGATAATTATCATTAATTCGATCTGGCACACGAATTGACCTTAATTACTCCATTAATAAATCAACAGGCTGTCCATTTAAGAAATATTAAAAATTCCCGGCTGATGCATTGGATCGCTGTAATATATGTACTACTTAAAAAACTACTGAACTAGTATACTTAAAACTTTCTTTTATCACATGTTTGTTGCGCACGTCTAACGTTACTATTTATATCAAATTGATCATGCCTGTAAGCTGGCGTGAGTTCTGCAATTATTATTTTCAGAATATAAATTATTATTATCATAATCAGCTAGTAATCATTTCGTTACGTCATGTTAGAAAACGAAATCAGTGACATACGATGAAATATAGTTGCCATAAAATATCATACTAGATAATTTTGAACAGGTATTCTATAGAGCATTAAGATAGTTAAACATATAAATATTTTACTCCAATTTCGATAGTGAAGGTTTTGTTTATGCTGAAAGTGTACCACTTAATCTAAGTATTTTAATGTCCAATTTTACATTGATACACCACAAAACCGAAACAATTTTATTCACTATTAATGAAGATTATAAATTCCATTTGTATGGCTGGATTTGTCTGTCCAAGAAAAAAAACGCAGAAATATCTTACTGGAAGCACTTTAAAGAAAATACAAAAAAACATTTGTAGTGTATTTTTATCAAGCCATTCATCTTTATTAAATATTTATTGCTAGCCAACATTAAATTTCAGTGAACTTGGTTTTTACTTAAACTAAACCATTATTTTCTTAACAACAAAAAAACTCTGGTAAAATGTTTTAGGATAAATCAGTTACAAACTTTATGCAACATTTCTGATAGGTCTTAATTATACGGTAATTCATTTTAAACCAACAAAGATATACAATGACTTCATTTTTATTGGAATGGGTTTTGTGGAGATTTTTAGAAATTTCACTGGTTGAAATCGTGAGACAATTGAAGCTAGACCACCATGGAAAACCTGGAAGCACTGGACGGCCGTTTCGTCCTAGTGAGAAGCCGTTACCAGTGGAATTCATCCAGGTCTGTTGTGAGATAGGAACTCATTGAAGCCAACGGTGTACGGTGGTGCAACTTCGTGGATTGGTTGAAGTTAGACATTACCACCGTTGGATGCCGGCTCAGTGGTCTAGTTGGTTAAGCGCTTAGCGCGAGACTGATAGGTCCTGGGTTGGGATCCCGCGGGGTGCGGGATCGTGGGTGCGCACTGCTGAGGAGTCCCATGCTAAAGCGAACCAGCCTTTCAGTGCTTCCAGGTTTTCCATGGTGGTCTAGCTTCAATTGACTCATGATTTCAACCAGTGAGACTTCATTTTTATTGATAAATAATTTTGACTGACCTGAAATAGTACAACTAATCATAGTGTTGTTAGTAAATTCTGTGAAAAGATACTGTCAACCATTGATTTGCATAGTTTATGAGAAAATTACAAGGGTCTTATTAGTCTTAATTAGATTTAAGATTTTCAGTAGGAAAGTGTACTAAGATATTTTGAGTATTTGTTATTAAAATAAAGGAATAAACGTACAACAATTCCTTGATATTTCGTCTTGTGATATAAGTGACAAAGAAAGAAGAAACAACATTAAAACAATAAAATACTAGTTCCTTTAAAAAGAACAATAAAAGTGTCCGGAAAACCTTGAAGAAAAATTTATTCAGAATGTATTTGATCCGAATTTTAACGATCAAAAGTTTGACCTTTGGAATTAATCTAAAAAGTCACGCCATTAATATTGTTACCTTTTAAGATGATGTAATATATTTTTGCAGTTTAATTTTGAATGTTATTAGAATGCTTACACAAATCACCTTTATAATTGAAATATAAAATAGAATTATGATGTGTATATCAAATAAGTCACCTGGAAACCATTTGGAACAATGTCTTTAGTTGAGATTTAAAAGAAGGTTAGTAGCCGAGGTCACATAACTGTAATATAACAGTAGAGAAAGTCAATCACTGATCTGCACTAGAAAAGAATCGATAAAGTTTGATTGTTCTGTTTAAATGATTGTACTTTCTTTTCTTCATCTCGTTATTAAGGTTCTAGTGAATTTGGACAGTTTGTGAAATCGGATTATAATGAAATAAATTCATACCCTGGTTCTTTACTTCTACAAAGAGCATCTACGAGTATAGCACTTAAACAAAACGAATCAGATCCACGACGACCAGATGAATATTTACTGGAAGGTGACAACAATCTCAGCATCATCAATAACAATAATAATCAAAGCAACAAAGAAATTGAAAGTAACATATCACGCTTCAATGAGTATAAGTCGGTTAAAAGTAATGTGTTAATTTCTAGTAACATGAAATTATCTCCTCAAAAACCTGTAGCAGAACAACAAATTGTAAATGTAAATGAAGCAGAACTAGCTTATGGTATGTGAATTTTCTTTATGTCCTGCTCCTAATTTTCTTTAAAAGTTTATTTCATTTCTTTGTGTATACCTCAAACTCATTCGTGCATATTTCCGTACCACCATTACAACCATTACTGGGAGGTAATAACAGTGAAATCATAAACAAATATGACTAATATAACAGTCATTATAGTCACTGTTTGAGTTATATTAATGCTAACACAATCAATATAAAAGAAAGAAAGAAACACAAACGATTTTGAATATTCGTGTGTCTAACAATGTATACAAATCAGGTTTGTGACAAGATATTAAACACAAAAGCAATTAGCAAAACAACATGACAATCGTTTTTGTTAAAATGTAAACTGACTTATTTTTGAAGTGAATGATCGTGAAATATATATTTAGTAAGATTGTTACTTATTAACCTACTGGTTGTTCGTTGTCAGTAATGTACATAATGATCAGCTGATAGGCACACTAGATCGATACTACGTGATTCCTAAGCGGTAGAATTTTTATATCAAAAAGACTGTCACTGTTCCAGCATTTCAGGACCGAAAACTGTATCGAATAAATTTGAGAAGACATTTTTTGACTCCAGTCAACTATCACAGTATTCAGGCTTTATCGAACGAACTTTTACTTGGATTTTCCTTGGACCATTCAAAAAGTGGACATCCCCAAGTAACTTGTCAAAACTGAAGTGTGTAAGTTAATGCGACTCAAAATCAAGTTATTTCAGCATTAAATATAACTAAGAACGTGCTTTTGCGTTGTACCATCAAGTACTTCTTCATATTTTCTGATCGACTCCTTTAATATTTGTACTGATGGCATATATATGGATGTCATAGAATATTTCTAGAACAGTATTTAACAAAAGAATTTAAATTTGACCTTGACCTCAATATACCTAACTAATTCCCCGTCACTTGCACCAAAGCGTTTGAACTCCTACTGAATATACTCTATTAGATCAAGTAAACAGTGAATTACTATACATTTTTCACCTTATATATTTCTTCAGATGTAATCGTTTTCCATCAGTAAACTTAATCATGAATTGCATACTTCAGTAATGCTTAAATACTACGATACAAAGTGGGAAAACAACAAAAGGCTGTCAAATAAAGATAAGAACAATAAATTTTATTCTTAAGTATATGTATTTTTGAATGATGAAAAAACGATATTAGATCTCACTAGCTTATCTTCTTCAGTGTCTAACAGTTAGAGTATGTTTCTATGTTGATATTTATTGCTTCATATTTTAGAACAACATAAACGAATGAATCCTAGACAGAAAACTATGCGTTCTAATCAGAAAAGTCCAGGATTTCTTACTGAAGATTATCCGCAAACATCCTTGACTGGTGATTATGGCTATGAAAGTGAACCGAAATCATTTACTTGTACAGATGAAGTAAAATCTCAAAAATTATTTCCAGGTTATAATCCAAAATCATTTTCATCAGGTATATTTATTTAAAAATAGTTTCAATTTATGGTTATATGAGATGTAATAATTGAAAAAATACCACTTTGTGGGATAAATACTGAAAGCTATTTTTGAACGGTGAAATCAGACTTACTTTTTCTTCAAATTAATTTATAGTTGTAATTACAGAATCAGGAAATTAAAAGAGAACAATATGAAATACAAGTTATTTGATTGTTAAAATGTTTTATGATTCCTTATTTAATTTAGTTTCATCATTAACCGAAGGGTTCACCTATTCTTACTGGAAGCAGAAAGCTCCAAATGAATATTCACTTGGTGTTGTTTACTTGTATCTTCCGATTTTTATTTAGGACTGTAATTGATTAGTCTCTTGTTGGCATATGTGCATCCAGAGCGAACGGCTTCGATATTGCCTGAAGTCACAAGCTTTATAAGCAAAGATGGATAGTGACTAGTAGTGATCAATTGGAGTGAATATAACTTCACCCCATTGCACAAGCAGGTGGTCATCAGGAATCAGTAGCTAAGTGGATAAAGTAACAGCGTTTGAAGAGAACGGTACTAAGTTAGAGTCCCGGAGTGAACATCGATTACGGGATACGAGTACATGCAGATGACGAGTCCCAAGTACGACGAAACAAGCGCCCTGGATTCCACTGCTAGTCTTTGCTTTAAATGAATAGTTGTAAGGTGACCTAATAATGTAGTATAAGGTTTTTATGATAACCTTGTTTTCATTTTTCCTAATATGGCAATTGTTAAAGATAGATAACCTTTAATGTGCCGGTCAGTAATAGTAACAGTTTATCAAACAACTCAATAGTGAGTTATGATAAACTAAGCAAATGAAAAACAATATTTCTATGAACAGACCAAATTCAGATAAATAATTATCAAAATGAGCAGAGTAATTTAATCAGAAAGAGCACGGAAAGAAAAATAAGTAGATTGAGCAACATGGTTTTCACAAGATTTAGAGATCTCATTTCATTACATGTTTAGTATATAAATAGGTGTTTCCAATTTATAACAGAATCAGCTAATATTTGTGTAACAGATTGAGTCATACAATTAAATATATGAGAATTCCAGTTAGAAAGTACACATGTCCATAGACTTTATAAGCAAAGATGGATAGTGGCTAGTAGTGGAATCCAGGACGGATGTTTCACCCCCTTTTGGGCTCGTCATCAGGATGTACTTGCACCGGGACTCGAACCAAGTACTGTTCGCTTCAGACAACTTCGTGCGTCTTGGATTCCGCTGCTAGCCACTACTCATATTTGCTTATAATGCTTGTGACTTTAGACAATATCAAGGCGATTTGTACAGGGTGCACATATGCCAATAAGAGACTGATTAATTGAAGTCCTAAACATCACTGGGAAGAATAAAAAAACAATACAAAATAAATATTCACAAACCATTTTGAAAACCTGAAAGACTCAAATGTGAAAATCAACGAAACTTTCCAATATCCTAAATGCAACAACGAAAATATTTCATGAAACCAAATTTCGTACACTTGTTTTTAGTTACTATTCGATAAAATATATGTAAGTAACTGATTTCTATACATACTCGTCCAAATCTGAACGAAGAGCTTGACCGAGTTTAAGTGCATTTTTATAGACATTAGATATAAAATTATATTCATAATAATAGTACATAGTCTTAATCAAATTGCCAATTAAAGAACACTTGAAATTATATTCAGTTAAAGCAAAACAAAATATGATGATTAATTGCTTCAAATATATATATTTAATGCTGTTTATTTATTGAATTGTTCAGATGGTTTTAGATCTTTTAAAATGACAAATTGATCATTAAACTAAGTGAATTAATATTATTAACATTTGGAATAATCTACATACTCTTTAGTGTTTATCAATCTTTATTCTGATGATTGTTAGTTGTCGTTTGTTTTTTTTCTTTCATGGTAATAATTGACACATTCAACAAGTATGAACGTATATAGTTCATGTATAAGAAAATGGTTATTTTATTTACTCTTATTTGCATTCTGTAGCAATAAGAAATTCCCGCGAAAAAATGAATGCATCCAATCGAATGAAGATGATGTCAATGGAAGAAACTGAAGATGATGATGCTGAAGGAGTTAATAATAATAATATTAATAATAACTATTATATACAAGAAAATGATAATTATCAAGGACAATATACTTATAATACAAGTTATTTACGTTGGAATAGTTCAAATCCAACAATCTCACAAAAATATGCTTATAATTTAAGTTCAGCAAGTCGTAAACCATGTTATAATGATGTAATGTCACAGTGTCCTACACAAACAACAAACTTAGAAGATACAGCAAAAAAAAGTAAGTTATGTATGATTTGCATATTGTATTTATAAGACAGTTTTATAATAATTTCAATTTCAAAATAAGGACACATTAGTAATCAGTTAGAAGACCCGTTTATCCATATATTTAAATTACTGACCTATTTATTCATTCTAAAATAAATGGTAACCAATTATATCATTCTTTTAAAGCCATCGATATCACTGAGAGACAAGTTTGAAGAGTGCAGAACAGTGAGACATGAAAAATTGTGCATTTAACACAAATTAGGTATAAATAATAAATGTAAGCTACAGTTGTTCTATTGTTATTTAATACTGAAAATCAAATATTAACTGAATTATTATGAATATGGGGAAGAAAATATGAAGATCAATCTAAACGGATTACTAAATGATAGTGTATTGTAAGGTTGAATACAGTCATCCTATGTTAATCATATTTTATTGAGATCATAAATCGATCAACGTCAGATCACCATTGAAAACCTGGAAGCAATGGACGGCTGTTTCGTCCTAGTATTGGTCTCTTTAATGATGGTAATTCATTGATCGCTCCATGATCTTAATAAAAACACTACAACTTTTACAACCACACACTGATAATTATCGTGTGCTCACTAATGACTAACTTTGAGAGGTAGTTCTCGGAATTCCAGTGCAAAGCCTTGATCAATGGAGCTCAACCGAATCCAGTGAAGCAGCCACCCACCAAAGACAATGGAAGATGGTCCCATAATATCATGGGTTGGTTGAAGTTAGACAATGATACTGTTAGATGCCGTCTCAGTGGTTTAGAGGTTGAGCGTTAACACGTGATCAGAAGTCCTAAGTTTGAGTCCTGAACGCGTGATCGTGAATGCTCACTTCTGAAAAGTTGGACACTAGAACGAAACAGCCGTTTAGTGACACTAGGTTTTCAATTGTGATCTAACATTGACCGATTCATGATCTCAATAAAATATGATCAACATGGGTTGAGAGAGATTGTTAGGAAATTTTCGAAGATTAAGATAATTCCACAATATTGTTATACATTTAAGAAGCGTCACGTTGAAACTTTATATGAAATTGTCTAGATCTCAATCTATTCCTGAATATAACGTTTACATTAAATAGGATAGAGAAATGAGTCATCACATATTATCTAACTTTATAGTTATTTCAATTAATTAAACTCAAAAAGCCAATCATGTAATAATGAATGTCTATAAAAGAACAGAAAAGTAGTCTGCTAAAGTAGCGGACACCAATCATGCTTCTGTGTTTTTATGTGTGAAATAATTTTTCTTATTATTACGGTGGTAGTTAGAGATTAATTATAGGCTGTTTACTTATTGTTAAGATTTATATCTGAGTAACAGTAAATACATAGAAACCTCTGAAATTGATGATGTGGATTGGTTGAATTTAGGCATTAACTCTGTTGGGTGCCAACTCAGCAATCTAAAGGTTAAGAGCCAGCGCTCAAGACCGAAGGTCCTGGTTTCGAATCCCGCGCACTGCTGAGGAGTGCCATACCAGGACGAAACGGCAGTCCAGTGCTTTCTAGTTTTCCATGGTGGTCTAGGTTTAACTGACTAATGAATTTAATTATTAATATAGAGTTATGGGAATAATTTACAGAGAATAAGGAGACTTAAAATATAGTGAATTCATTTCATTAATCAAACGTTTCTTTTCTCGCCTTATTTGAACCTATAGTTTACGTTATTCGAAGTAAATCATCAAATAAATAAGATAAGTGAATGACAATTAAAAACTGTTCAAATATATTATCAAAAATGTTAGCGATTACCATATTATAGATTAGATCAACAATTGTTAGTGAACAATAATAATAAAATTCGATTGTGATCAGGCATTATGACGTTTAAGGAAATCATATATTTTCAACCAATATTGACATCTGATCTGATGTCTTACTAAAAGAATAGAAAAATTGTGCTGAAAGGATACTATAAAGAAGGAGTTGGAGTTTAACAGCAATATACTGACGGAAAAATGCTACCTGAAAGCTCTTAAAAAAAAGTATTTGTTTACAAGGGAGATATGAGCCGCTCAAAAGAAACCTCTGTTCTTGAAACTTTAATTCAACTTGGATATGGCTAACAAAGTCCTACATGATAGATTGGTGGGAGCATCTTAAGGAAAATTTTATACAACTTATCTTAGATCAGCAGTTTCTAAAATACCGATGATGTTTACTCAAACAAAGGATAAGTTGCCGGAGTCGGACTCTTTGAGAAGTATCTACAACATTAGCTGCTGAGATAGCTATATTTGGATTACTAACAAGTAACTTAACCAACGAATGAGTTAATATCTCTTTACTTAGTTTGTAAAAGATCAGGTAAAACAATAAGCAGTTCCAAATTGGCACATTTAGTCGTATGATAAAAAAAACCAAAACGTTTTAATCGACCTAACATTTACCTTCGTCATTTTCAGATGTCCTTTGATCCGGTTTCTTATATACAGCAGAAGCTATAGGGGTTTCAACCCTAGTAAATGTCTTCTCAGGAAATTAGTGTCACCTCTGTCCCTTCCTTGACCGGATATGTCCTAATAAACGACTTTATTAATTTCTCACATCAGGTATTTGCATGTCATTTTCCATCTTTTCCCATTTATATTCTTCATTATCTAATTATTTACATACTTCTTACTACTCGACTTAATAAGGTTATGTGATTATTATTTTAAAATCTATTTATCCAAGTTTAAGCTAATTCCAACGTTGAACTGCTGATCGGAACTTTTATTGTTTTATTACTCTTATCACTAAAATAGACCAACTTCTCACTGTCCATTTTTTTCATTTTTCACCCAATTACATTTAGTTGCATAATCTATTTCATGGTCATTATTGACTCATAAATTAGCCTAGTTTCATATTTTTCTATACCTGCATAAATATCAATGCATATCAGAGTGAAGCATGATAACAGTCTAACTGGAAACAATATTGTTCGCTGATATATTGTTCTTAATTTACATTTCCAGAGAGCTGGAAATGTTTCCTATCACTTGTGATCTATTGTTGTCGGATATACATATTTTATCAATTTAAATATCTTCTTTTTATTAAACATCAGTTCAGGAAGTGATATCATCTAGATAACTAATAGATAATTACTAGTTTTCATAGCATTAGGCATCTTTCCTTCAATTTCGTAAACTTTTTTTATTGAATTAGAGATATTTATCCTCATGACTTGTTCTACCTTGATAATCTGTTACTCTTCTTATAACTTTCAACTAAATTTTGAAAATGTTACATCATCAATAAAATTGAAACCGTTTAATTCTAATTAATTCATGTAAAATAAATTGAGCTATCTTCATAAGTCTCTATTTTATATTTATCAGTTTTAAGGTTTTAACAACTCTAGTTCAGGTGTATACACGTTCATATAGGAATATTTATGAAAATAATAAATTATATAAATAAACAAACCATGTAAATTACAATATTCATTGATTTATAGTTGTTATGTCTTGTCGTTTGAATGCTACTTGTTATATCTAGTCCTCGCTGATTATAATGTTGGAAACGCTTATCACTTATACTCGGAACAAGGGACCTCCGCAATTCCCACGACGCGAAAATAAGAACACAAGGACTGGTATAAGTGAAGATTTATTGACCCCAAAATACGATTACGACGACCAGATATAACAAGTAGCATTCAAACGACAAGAAATAACAATTGGCGACGGGGTGAAAAAAATTCTGAACCCTCAATCTTCAAAAAAAAGAAGAGGAGGTGATATGCAGGAAAGAAAAGTCAAAATTTGATTTAATAATTATGAGCTTTGTTCAACATTACTTCCGTTTTGATTAAATGTAATGTTGAATAAAACTCATAATGAGTAAATCAATCTAAAAGTGACTTTCCTTTCCATCATATCAATAATTATCTAGAATATTCATATTTGATTGTAACTTCTTAAGTTAATTTTTTGCTAATTAACAATAATCATTTTCATTTTCAAAAAAAAGAAAAATACAAAAAAAACAATCGATTGGTTACTATGGTATGACGACTCATCATCATATTTTTTTTGATATTATCTTTTGTTGCTAACATTACTAAGAAACTTCATCTATAATGAACTAATATTTATCCATACAAATTATGTTTATTATTATTTCTTTTGTTACTAAACATGATTTCAAATAGATAAATATTTAATCAATATATTGATTTAATGAAAAAAAAGCATTTTAATTGACAGTTTTAATTAGTTTAAGTTGAAATGAATTAATTGAAATAAAAACAAAATATACTACTTTTGATTAAGATAATTTCGTATTATTTTATGATTAATTTATAAACGAATTAATTTTAACTGATTGATAGTATTATGGAATTTAGGAAACATCTATTGAAAATATAATTAATTCATTGGATCAGATTGAACAATTTATTGAACACTTACTTACTTACTTACGCCGATTACTCCTCGTGAACGAGCATAGGCCGCTCACCAGCATTCTTCATCCAACCCTGTCCTGGGCAATCCTTTCCAGCTCCTTTCAGTTGTCACTCATCCTTTTCATATCTGCTTCTATTTCCCGACGTAATGTGTTCTTTGGCCTTCCTCTTTTCCGCTTTCCTTCAGAATTCCAAGTTAGGGCTTGCCCTGTGATGCAGTTTGATGATTTGAGTAATGTATGTCCTATCCATAGAACAGGTTTTATAAAAAATTTATTGATTTATTAAAAATAAAAAAAGAAGAATGAAGATCTTTTAGTAAAGAAGGTTTTTTTCTTTGTTGGGGACGTTAGATCCCTAAAACTCATATTTTGTAATTTTATCTTTGTTGAGCTTATATGCAGATGTATGTTAGGGCATTTCCTATCACCCACGCACATGGTCGATTGACGAACTTATCGATTAAATGTTTAAAAACTTCCATGGCAATATCGATTATATATATTTGCATAAATACGCTTGATTTGTTTGCTTGAGGAATCTGGTATCTTCTGGTTGTCTGCGGAATACACTT